ATCAGCGATTTTAAAATCACATTTTACTCTACTTATTTAGAAACTATGTAATCTACGGATTTATGTTCATATGAACTAAAAATGCAAACAAAAACAAAAAAAACGAACGTCGGTAATGGTACGTCATTACGCTAGGACGCGTTCGCGTACAAGCCCACTCGGAGTCGCTTCTCCGGCATTGCAGCAATTTGCTTATTATTTTAGCCAAATTATTTAGATAATACGTATATGGATACAGGTTATCAGTTTTTAAATGTTTTCCGATGTGTTCATCACAAAGCACAGCTTCATTTAGGTTATTTTTTTCTTTTTACACTTACAGTTTGTTAACTATGAGGAAGGTTTTCTTTTTGCCGACATGTCAGTAAACGCAGCACGCATGCGTTCGTCACTTTCCTGAATCGCGACGTTTTCCTGTGAAAGATGGCGGCGACCTTGTGTTCGAAATTGCTGCCAAAACAGGGTAAAGTACTATACTTATACCATTACTTTTTTTTTAAAAAAAAACATTGCGGTTCTGGTTAGTCTGTCTAATTTTCAGCAACTAGCTACTGTTAGTAGCGTTAGCGGGGACTCCGTTTTTAGCTGTTATTAGGCTCAGTTAGTCGATGTTAGCTCCGCAGCGCTCACTGACTGGTTGTACAGCAGACATTTACCTGACATTTGTGGCTTTCAGGATGGCTTTCCCTCACACAGAGTGTCCGACACGGGTCCAAGGCTGTGACCCGCCACAGGAAGCCTATGCACATCCACAAACAGAAGCTGCTAGCTGTTACTCAGTACATCCCCCCCGCACGGGAGTTTCCTCCAGGCGCTTACCCTTCCCAGACCAAACACGTCCAGGAGGTAACACACCAGCATGTTCAGTCTTTTACTGAAAGCCTGCACGATCGGAACAAGTCTCACTTCATATAGGACTGCTCAGCATTGTGTGCTTATTTCTTGGATTGGCTTAGGTTTACAAAACCTTATTTTGAAATATGTTGCTTAAAAACAGGCATTTGGCGTTGCATCCCAAACAACTTTTACCAGGCAGCCAGCAGCTGATAGAGCAGTTTAATAACTGTTGCAAAAGAAATGGGAATATACAACAGTGTTTGTACACGTGCTTAAGGACGTGATAAACTGTATCTTCCACATCTGCACTTTGTATTTAATTTGCAAGGTAATTGGAAAAGTTGGTTTCATTTAAATATTTGCAATATTGTCATATTTATTTTTCGCTTGGTCATTATGAAACCTTTAACTTGCACGGTTACCGTACCCTATCCCATGATGTGACAGCATTCTCCTCTGTCACAACCCTCTTCATGTCCTCCTTCACTAATTGTCTCTGTGCTCTCCCTCATTTCTTCTTGCTTGCAGCTCCATCTTCACGATCCTTTGTTCAGTATATCCACTATCCCACCTCTAAACATGTCCAAACCTTCTTAACCTTACCCCTCTAAGTTGTCCTTCTCATGTACTCATTTCTAATCCTGTCCATCCCGCTCATTCCCAATGAAAATCTTTACATCTTAAACTTGGTCTCCTGTCTTTTTGTCAGTACTATAGTTTCCAAACCATACTTCATAGCAGGTCTTACTAACTACTTTAAAATCTTACCTTTTACTTGTACTGCTATGCTTCTGTCACCTCGACACATGTCGCCACCCTGCCTGCACTCTTGTGTACTGTCTGTTGCTTTGGATGTCTGGTTTAAAAAGTAGCATAACAACTGTGTATAAAACTCTGATAGATGTAAAGCTTATTCAGAACTTTAGCTACTATTACCACTTTCAAAGATGAGGTTATTTTTACCTGAAAGCTTCATCTTTTACAGTAAAATATGATATATTTTCTGCTGCTCAGTAGTTAAATGATAAAAACATTTTTTGGAACCAGAATTTTACACATTACAGAATTAATTGGGCTTTTAATTTGTTACTTCAAGCAGATTTTGAAAGTATGCACTCATGTCCTTTTGTTCAAGTAGTAGTCTTTTTTTTCCTGGTTTGGTCTGCAGGTCTCGTGCTTTACTGAGTGTCAATCTCTTCCGTCTCATTCCTTCAGGATAATGATTTGACCTTACTAATGAAGAGGGAGTTGAAGAAGTTGTTTGAGGATTATAAAATGATCGCCGTGGTCCAGAACAGCAGCAGCAGTGCTGAAGACATGATGACTCTCAGGCACAGACTTTATAAACACAACATCACAGTCAAGTTCTTCCCCAACAAGGTAAGACTGACGTTGTTGATTCTGTGAGAGTATCAAATTTACCATCGTTTTCTTTCAAATTTCAAAATATGTTAACACTTTCTCCAGGTATATCTCACACACACACTTACTGTGACATTTCCTATTTATCGGGAATCAAATACGTTTGAGATGTTTCTGAATAATAACATAATAAAACAGCTTTCATTAATCCAAATCTAAGTAATAGACGGTGTTTTTGGTAACATTTTTAGGGTCAGAAAGGACAACAAGGTGTGGATTGTATTCTCTTGAGTGTTGACAGCTGTACACTCCATGGATGAGTAGTCCTGTAATACTTCTAATGCGTGATTTAGACTTCTGTGGGGAATCTATGTCATAACTTACTTAACCTTCCACGTAACCTGATGTGCACCTTCTGAAAAGTGTAACCAATGTCAAGTCGACGCCCAGCGTAACGACTGAATTTGCTCACTGTGTGATGGCACCCAGGACCATCCCTTATACTTTACATAAACTATAACAGCAACAATAAATCATTTTCTGATGATACATAAGACGATAAACTTTGAGTTGTTGTTTCTGTCTGCAGCTTTTTAGCTCACAGCGTCCTTCATATAGAAGAACATCCTGCTGCACAATTTCACATCAAGGATCATTAATCTTCTAATTCACAGTTGTTTGTTTTCAGGTTGTGCGGTCGTTCCTGAGTGACTCCATTTACTGCAACATGGGTCCTCTGTTCGTCGGCCCAGCGGTTATGTTTGTTAGCAAAGAGCCGAAGGTGAAAGAGATGCTGACGACTCTGAGGGGCAGCCCACAGATGACACTCCTGGGTACGTTTATCGTCCAAGTGCGAGGAATAATTAGCATTGGATATTGTTATGATGCCTCGGGAACCATGAAATGAGTTCAGGAAAAGTTGAGCTAAATTGTCTTCTAAATGAACTCGTCAATCTTCTGCTGGTGACAGTTTGGGGCTGTGGGTTGAGATAAGGTTCCACATCCTGCTTGCGTCTAACCTTGGAGCACAGTCGGTTTGTAGATGAAATTAGGGATCCAGTTAGACGGGATAAGCAGTTACTGCCTCTCATCTAGAAAATGCCAAGTGTACTGTGAGTGTACACAAGGATACTGTGGCCCAAATTCAGTCTGTCCTCTACAGACGTTCGCTTTGTCTGCATGTCCACTTCCTTAAATGGAAGTGTGTTTTTAAACCCTCCAACACTGAATCCGCACCAAATCAGGCTTATTAACCCAAGTTTGTGAACCAGTGTTAAAAACTTAAAATTAAACAGATAATATTTTGCCAGCTGAAGCCTGTCTCAGTAAAACAGATTTCAGATCAGTCCAGAAATGGAAGGAATCCATTGCAAATATCTGTAATGATCTCTGCTCTTCTTTCATCAGGAGCCTGCATAGACAACACGCTGCTGAGTGCACAGGGCATCGTGAGCTACTCCAAACTGCCGTCAATGACAGTCATCCAGGGTGAGGTGGTGAGCGGGCTCTCCATGCTGACTTCCCACACAGCTTACCTGCTGCAGCGCCACCCGGCCCACCTGTCACAGCTGCTCCAGCAGTATATCAAACAGCAGAGCTCGGATGGAAGTGCAGAGGCAGCTCCTAAAGCAGAGGAGGCCACGTAGAGCTACAGAGGACATTACTGGGACTGGTGACTTTCAGATCGAGAGCCAAGTGGAACAGCAAACGACTGTAAATGGACTGGATGCAGTCTTTGTTTTAATTTGGCATCAATCAGACTTTAAAGATTGAAAAAAAAGTCTTGAGTGAAAGAGATAAATTGGTGACACAGTGAGCGTCCACCTTTCGGACACCTCAGCCTGGAGATGTCTGGAGTTATTAGATAAATAATGCTTCAAATGGTTTTATTTAAGTGTTTAATAAATGACTTCAGCGCTTACTTTGACTCATGTTGTTTCTATGAAGACTTTCTGTTACTGAGGGATTTTTTTGCTTAAAAAAAAACAAAGAACAGTGTGAGATGGCATACTTCTGCCACGGTTAAAAGCACACTCCACACCATACATCAGTCAAGTCTTTGGATTTAGAAGGACTAGGATCGCTTGTGATATTCTTCCTATTTCAGTGTGACGGGCAGTGTTGGGGAGTAACTGAATACATGTACCGCCGTTACGTATTTAAAATACAAAATATGAGTAACTGTATTCCGTTACAGTTACCGTTTAAA